AAACTCCAACAAGTAGTGGAAATGAGTTTTACACGATGAAATGTAAAATAAAACATTACTTGTTATGTTAGAGTTAAATTTATAACATTACATTTACAAAACAAATTTATGACGATTTATTAGTTTATTGATATAAATGCTTGCTGGAAATATGTAATTGGTTGTTATTCGATCTACACTTAATCCCATCACTACTAGACATTTGTGAAAAACCTTTGACTCGTTGGTATGAATGAAGCACTACTATTTTGATTTCAATGCCGGTTTCACGCATGATGTTTCCTGTAACCTACTCTACTCTTGTAATAACCATAGTATTATTTTTCTGAGAAGTAGAATTCTGTTTGTAAAAATGAAGATTTACAAAAAAAAAAAACGGAGGTAAAAAATTGATTATAAATGGAAAATGGTTTTTTATCTATTTACGAAAAATATAAAGATGCAACAATGCGCAGAATGTACGTAATATGCAAAAGATACAAAATATTTTATTTTTCATAATATTTAATTGATAAAATAATTTTTTATCTATTTTTTGTTGTATTATTTATGAAAATATAAATTTATATAAATGCTCACGGTCTAATTGTAAATATGTAGAAAAATTTTACAATTAAATTTCAATCACCAGATTTGGTATGTTCATTTGAATTATCATAGTTCCTTCAGTCGAATATGTTTTGATCTTTCTAAAAATTAAACACTGAAAGAAATTATGAGAATATATAAAATATACTGAAGGTATAGAATATATAAAATATAAAGGTACATAATATACCTAGAATATACCAAGTGTAAAGTGCACTAACATGATAAAATAAAACTAGGACAGAATAAAATAAACAAATAAGAAATAAAACTAATTTCAAATAATATACTCAAAATGACTAAAATATATGTTAACACTTACATGAACTTACTTAAATGAAAACTAACTTACGTAATGCACATACTTGAAACAATAAAAATACTAAAAATGTTTACATAAAATACTTAAATAAAATTAAGTTAAAAATTAACTTAAATAAAATTGAGTTACGTTTAAAGCCCTCAAATGAAATTAATTATTAAAACTGAAGTTGAAACAAGAAATCTAAAATTTCCAAAAGGTAAAGCAAGAGTATCTATGAAAATAAAAAATGAACAATATATTGAAGCATCGTTGATGAACACAGTCTAACGAGTGAAAATTTAATTGATTTCTACATTAAGCGTGTAATCCATGTGAATGGAATTCAACCAGAGCTGTTGGGGCCAAGTTTTGATAAATTTTAGCCAAGCAAATCTGCACGGATATTGCTGGCAAATGTAATTGTGTTTGACGTGTTCCTCAATTGGAAACAGAAGGTATTGTCGGCATTCTCACTAACGGATTGGTAATACAAGCGGAATGATCGTGCATTCGGTACCGTTTCATTGCTGGCTCTGCTTACTAAAGCCGGGGGACTGTGAGTGTAGCCCGCTTCTCCTCTGTTAGACTCCATTACCTGATTCCCCTCAACAATGTTCTTCAATCATGACGAATTAACGATAATTCTCCAACACGGATCTTCGCGAAGTGATTTGCATTGTTGCACATGTATAAAAGTAATTGTAACATTAACCGTGATATAATTATAGTAATGATTGTTCTTGCAATATTAGTCTCTTATTTCTCTTGCGATTTTTTTTTTTTTTTAAATGGTTTAGATAATTCGTTTGATCTTGTAATATTCTATGAACGATGATTTTATTTTTATGTCATTCTGAACATTCAGTTTTTAAGCTCTCAAATTATATCGATTGTTAACATGTATAGTCTCTGTAATAATATGATTAATATATTATATAATGATTAATATGTAATATGATGAATATGATTATTCATATATTAATATATTTATAGTAATATATATTATATAATGATTATATAATGTATTTATATTTATATATATTTACATTAATATATATTATATAATTATTATATAATATATTTATATTAATATATATTATATAATATAATGAATATGATTATTAATATATTATATAATGATTAATATTAATATATAATATGATGAATTAAAATTTTTACAAATGTTACTAAAATATTTTATAAACTCGATGAATCTTAAATTTAAAAGTTTTCGCAGTGAAATTTACTAAAATTAAAAATTCTGAAACTAACAACTAAGTAATTTAACTATAAATAGCCGTGTCAGTTAAGAGTTAAAAAAAATTTTCTTTAAAAAAAGAAAAGATCTTTTTATGTGAAAGCAAATTCTCACGTCGAAGATAAAATTTATCGTATAAATTTACAATAAAACCGAAATATTCGAAATTTTGAAGTGTTGCCTTCATTTAAATTTTTCCAAATCGTTTTTATTGGTATTGCAATGAAGCTTGTGGTATGTCGGAGGGTACAATTTGAGAAAATACTTGTCAGAAGAAGCACGTAGCATTTATTTTCTTAACTGAAGCTCCGAGCTGGTTAGCCCTTTCTTCCCTTTAAAGAACAACACGACTTTGGTCCGGAGCGAGACTATCGTTAGATTCATCCCATGGGGCCTTGAGAAAGCAGAACTGCATTCCATAGTCGTTCAACTCGCATTCCATTCTTAGGTAGACGATACGATCGTTCCAACTTCCTTCACTGGATTGCCAATTGAAAATAAATAACAACGAAACGGAGCTCCTAACCACTGGAAATGGTTGTGAACGTCAGATTTCATAAGAAACCAATTGTCAAACCATTAAAGACTAAGATATATTAAATTGAAGTAATCACAATGTTAAAAATATCCCAGTTTTCTTCAATTTTGTACATTATTGTAAATTCTGACCTGGAACAGTTATTTTGTAAATTCTGGTTGGAAAAAGATATGAAATGTATTTCTGACGTTGTATTTCATAACTATAAACGATTGACGTACACTTCGTTATTTAAAAGGTATTATCTCACATTTCTGAACCAATACGAACAATTCAAAACGAACAATTCAAATTCCTTTTTAAATACAAAGCCATTACCATTGTTGAAAATATATGCATACGTACGCGCGATACATTTGTTTTTACTATTTTAGCAAAAACATGCATGACGACGATAGCCGTCATTTGCGTCAATGCGTTGAAGAATAGATTAGATGATGAAAGAGTTGCAAATGAAATGTCACGTGCATAATGATAAATACACAATAATTATTATTATTATATATATATTATTTTATATAAATATAATATAAATATATTATTGTTAATAAATTAATATTAAATAAATAATATAAATAATATATAAATATAATATGAATATATTATTGTTAATAAATTAATATTAAATAATATTAAATAATAATAAATAATATAAATAATATATAAATATAATATATAATATATATAATATAAATAATAAAAATATAATACATAATATATATAATATAAATATAATATATATATGTATAAATATATTATATCTTACATAATATTATATATATATTTTATATAAATATTTAATAGACAATAAATATTAAATACATACAGAAAAAAGTTAAAAGCATGAAGCTTTGTTCTTTGAGGAAATCAGGTTTGAGAATTTATCAATTTGTGTTTAAATTAAATTTAGCTAATTCCAGACTGAGTGAAGGAGAAATAGACTTTTTTTTTTATCCTGCCTATGAAAATAAATCTGAAACACAAAATACAATCTGTTCACAAGACACTTCATTTTCGAGAAAATTCAACTTGAAAATTCATAAATTCTTAAATTAAAATTCTTAGCTAAACATATCCAAAGTCTGTTTTTCTTGAAAACATGAGATCTTAAGTAGAAAAATTTTATTCTGCATTTTCTACTTATCTTTCGCATGCAGAATAACCTCGTACTGATTATTATTAATTCCTTTTTAGTTCAGAATTAGATTCAAATATATTTGACAAATATTCTTTCTAAAAAATAAAGCCATCGTATGACAAAGTTTCATTTCACATTTTCATTTTATTTTTTCTTATTGTACCCATAGCACCATCAGTTATGAATCATACTGTATAACAAAGAACTTACGATCCTTGCTACGTTTGCACACTGTACTAATTCCTTTGTTTTGAAAAAATTGTTCAATTATTGAATTTCATAATTTATATATAAATGAAATTTGATCATTTATTGCCATAATGTAGAGTTACAAAACATTATAGTGGGATATGAACTAATACATTTTAGAATCTTGTTTGCTATGTTGTAGCATTTATATTTAGAGATAGTACCTACATTTTTAATACAAAATGCGTAAAATGTAGAATTTGTAAAATATATATTTTTTAATTTATATATATTATATATTATACTTTTTAATTTATATATGTTATATATTATATTTTTTAATTTATATATATTATATATTATACTTTTTAATTTATATATGTTATATATTATATTTTTTAATTTATATATATTATATATTATATTATATATTATATATTATAGTAAATTGTATACATTGCACGCACGTGTAATTTTATAAAAATATGAAAATTATGAAAATTATTATATAATGTATAATATTGTATATAATTATATATAATTAAATATTATTATATTAAATAAATATAAAGATAAATAAAAATAATAGATATTTCCGTATCTGTTATGTTCATTGTAACATATTCGTAAGTGTTTTGACTTAAAATAAGGATCACTGTTCGTTATAGGATACCCACCTGTATTATTAAACCTATCTAATTATTATTTATACATGTGTAATTAAAATCTACGAAAATTATCAGAAAGTCTGAATCATCAATACTAGACGCTGCTATGATTTAAAAATTTGTTTCATCTACGATAAATACGAGTATTGAATTCGTGCAAGACTGAAAGCTTTTGAGCGAGAGTGTATCACCTCTTTTAAGAACAGGCTCTGCAGTAGCGAGAACTGGTTCAAAGAGAGAAAAATTGTAGAAAATAAAGAAGAAGTTAGAAGCCTGTTGAAGTTCGTGTAGAGTAAAGAACTGTTGAACTTTTGCAGTGGGTCTAGAAGAGATCTCGGCTCGATTAAATTTAATAGTGAAGGCGGAACTAGCCGAACTGGTTGTTGGCGCACCCATGAGCCCTGACGATCCGGAAACAAGGTGCCAATATCTCGAGAAACTCTTAGGTGAGTAAAGAATCGTTGTAAAATTGAGAAATATTATTAGCCTCGAATTTAAATTGCATTGAGAATGTAGAAAATGATAATATGAAAATGTAATGCACCTGCAATGACATTGAATGTTGACGGTTCGGAATAAAAGAAACTTTTCTGAGGTAAAACGTCCTGAATTTCAAAAAATTTGCGTTTATGCATTTATGACAAAAAGAAAAAAAAATGCATGAAAACAAATTTTATATAAGTTCAGAAAAATAAACTAAAGATTTAACCAGTAAGAAAAATCGGTATTATGAACTTTAGATGATAATGTTCCGAAAGTGAAAGCGTAGGAAATTAACCACTTGCGCTGGCAACTAGATTGCGGACCATAACGAGTGACCAAACCGTAAACGATAATTCGTCGCTTTCTTTTTGAACTTCGTCGGTATGTCACTGGATAGAAATTATTCGTGAAGTAACAAATTTATTATTTGTTTTGCCTGTGCATTTGGTTATACTTAAATATATTTAAAACTAAAGAAAATATTGCAATTTTGGGATAAAAAAAGCTTCAACTAGACAGGAGTAAATTGAAGATAGTCGATAAATTAAAAATAGATAATATAATTTTTTCGTTTCTTCAAAATTTGGAGTTAAGGACTAATCTATGTGCATTGTAATTAATTAGCATTAGTCGTAATTAATTAGCATCAGTATAATTATATATTCACACGCATACTGAGATTTCAAAAGAAAGAAAATTTTATTTTATATTATACTAGAATAATAGCACAGAGCGATTCTGGAGGGAAAAAAAAAAAATAAGACGAGAATTGGTCTAATCTCAGCATTAATGTGAAATAAAATTTGTTCATACAAAGCTTTTATTTTTCGATGAAAATCGATTTATTTAAGTAATTGATTAATTTAATTATTTAGTCGTGAAGAAGGACTCGTTTTTCAGGGAGGAGCGTGAAATTTTTATTTTCATAATACAACGTTCATTCTTTCTCAGATGTTTTTACATCGTGTAAGATACTTTTCTTTCTTTTTTTCTGTTTATTTGCTATAAACTCTCACAATGTGTGGAAACATTAATTTTTTTTTACGACTGAATCTACTATGGATCTGAAGATAGTAGCTTCCCTAAGCAACGACTTCCTAAAGTGTGTGATTCTTTTTCTTTGGCTATTTTGTTGAACACAAATGAGGTACGTTCAGACGTATAATTTAATATTATATAATTATTAAATAATATATATTATATATTAAATAATTAATAATAATATAATATAAATAATGATACATATTATATAATATTAAATAATTAATAATAATATAATATAAATAATGATACATATTACATAATATTAAATAATTAATAATAATATAATATAAATAATGATACATATTACATAATATTAAATAATTAATAATAGTATATAATATATAATATTAAATAATTATATAATTATATAATAGTTAATATTATTAAATAATTAATAATAGTATATATTATATAATATTAAATAATTATATAATTATATAATAGTTAATAATAATTAATATAACATAATTATATAATTATATAATATAACATAAATAATAATACATATTACATAATATTAAATAATTAATAATAGTATATATTATATAATATTAAACAATTGTTATTAATAACATAATTACACAACTGGAATTGTATTTCTCGTGTTCAAGAAAATACCTAAAAAAAAAAAAAAATCGTACGTGAAATTTTAGAGGACCTCGCCGTTACGAGGACCTAAATAGTATCCTAATTAATAACTAATAACAGTCACTGCAGGTGTAGTTGTAAAAATATAATATATCACGTGGTTTCTTTTCGCAGATCGGAAAAGAGAGGCTGCCGTGATGGTCGATTGGCCGGAAGTCAGCGGGAACGTTTACATAGAAGACGGAGAGCCATCGAAAGGGAAGAAATTGCAAATCGCTAAAATTCATCGAAATATCGAGACTATTTTAAATCAGAAAAATTTCAACGATTCGTAGGAACGCAAAGTGAACTTGCGAAGGGAATTGAAATGTTAAATCCAGGATTACTTTTCTATTTATATCTCGTATTCGCGTAATGAATAGGAGAGAGAGAGAGAGAGAGAGAGAGAGAAAAGAAAAAAAGAAAAGAAAAACGCCGGAAGGTACAAAATCACATTCGACGGTTATAAACAGGCAATTTGTATTATTTTTTTTAATAATTTAATAATTATACCTTTTTATATAATGTGTTTTTCTTGTTATTATTTAAGTAGATGTACGAGTAAGGAGGAGGAAACCTCCTTAAAAGAATCCTTGCTCGAAGTCTCGAAGCTCGAACGTGATCGAGCGTCGATCGACTTGGCCCGCTCGGTTATTTATTTCTTCTTGTAAGCTTTAAAAGCCGCCATCTTTGTAATATAACTATGCGATGTATGTATTTGATAAATGAAATAAAATGGCAAACGCTGGTATTTACAGGTGGGACTGGTCTTTGCGCGGTGATACCCTTTATGCGTGAGAAATAAAAAAAAGCGTGACGGAGATCGCCAATCTAGCTGGACGAAAATTATTCTGATAATCATTACATGAAATCGTTTTAATTCTTCGTTGTAGATTATTGAAGATAGCTTCAAACAGAGCCGAGCAAACGTAAATAATAAACAAGAAACAAGATACGCAGTGATTGTTGGATTGCTAATGGACATCATCATCGTGAAATCTTTTAAAACTTATGAATCATTGAAGAATGTCTGAAATAGAGTTGAGCAAAACGTGATTTGATTAATAATGAGATTATAATTAACATGAAATCACGCTGTTCAGTCAAAATTAGATTATTGAATGATATAATAATGTAGTAAATAACATAATAATCACTGATCAATGAACACAGTGAATACTCAAAGTTGTTATAATCAATGCTCATGTATATTGATTAATTTATTTCGGTTATTCTCTCTTTGTCAACTTCTGTGAGATTCAATTTAATTCAATTTATTCAAATATACGGGGAAGAAATTCTTTTTAGTTTTTATCCAGTTGCTTGTAAGTAATTTATTTTGGCATAATAAGTAATCCAAATCAAATCATGATTAATTTAAAAATCGTTAACTGTGAAATAATCATACTTTTAGTTACGCTTTATTCAGTATTTTATTTATACTATTATTTTTATTTATTAATTAATTAAAAATAATACTAGTATTAATACTATTAATTCTTTTGTAGTATTATTTTTTGAAATACTTTCATTTATATAATAAAAACGCTTTTATAAGTTAATAACAAATCTTTGTAAGTAATTTATTTTGGCACAATAAGTAATCAAATCATGATTAATTTAAAAAATCGTTAATTGTGAAATAATCATACTTTTATGCTTCATTCAGTATTTTATTTATACTATTATTTTTAATTATTAATGAATTAAAAATAATACTAGTATTAATACTGTTAATTCTTTTGTAGTATTATTTTTTGAAATACTTTCATTTATATAATAAAAACGCTTTTATAAGTTAATAACAAATACTTTGTACATCACAGGTAGTATTGTTAATTTGAAGAATTTGTAAATTTCCATTAAATCCTCTATTTTTGATATCTTTCAATTATGTTGGCTATTTTTCCATAAAGTTGCATTTTAAGATACAGTAAAATAATATTTGATTGTTTCATAATACATTTGTACGTACGAACAAACGTTTGCATAATAAAATTATACATAGTGCAAATTACGTCTTTAAAATTGATCATCGAGTGATTACTCAATAATTTACTGAAATAAAATCAAGATACTGCTGTAAACTAGGATGTTCCAAAGCTTAGTGTTGCCACAGTATGTAATAAATCTGTAAAGGCTGACAAATAAAAGTGAGACTGAAACATCACGTAACAAAAATTATATAAATACATACTTCACTAGAAAGTTATAAAAGAAGAAGTATAAAACGAAGCTTTGTGTACTCATGTGCACGTTTCAGAATGTCACTTCCTTTTTATCAGTGCAAAATCCAAGTGTCATTGACTTTACTGAAGATTGAATTTTATTCTGTCAAATTTCTTCAAACGCAGTTTTGATCCTTGTATCAATTTCCTGTAATTTTACATTGTAAATACTTAAAAAATTTTTGTAACATATACTTTAATAATATAATATATACTATAATATATATGTAAATATTTGTTATCAAAGATAATGAATATTTTTTCATAAATAGAAATCTGAAGATGTTAGGTCTGATGACCCAAGAGATCCTTTTCGACTAATCTATCGTTGAAATTGTTCTTATTGATTATGTCTCATATTTTTCATATTTACTTCTCTTGCTTTGCTAAGGCTTTGCATATTGGACATTTTACTTTTATTTTCGTAGAATCTGTCGGCAGAACACTAAATTTCGAAACATCCTGCACAGTTCACAGCAGGATATCGATTTTCAATAAATGTTTCGCTTCAAAACAAATGGCTAGCTACCTAATGATCAATTTATAAATATGTATTAAATAACAAAATTAAACAACCAAATCGTCCGAGAAAATTGTATAAATATTGTAATAATTGCTATGCTTAAAATGAGTAAAAATTTTATTTCATTTCTAATTTCGTCCAGCTAGGTTAGCGATCCGTTACGCTGTACGACAGACAGTTGTTTCATGTCGCTATATTTAATTGCCTTAAAATTACAGATACGATTTATATTAAAATAATTAACGTTACACCGCGCGCAATCTGTACGGATCGCATTTGGAATCTTTCAGAAAAATATCCCCTAGAAAAAGACAGTTTTTTTTTTTTTCTCTTCTCACTCACGCGTACTCACATTCGTTAGATTATCTTCTCTTGCCGTTCTTACCATTCAAATTAATCCTCGAACGATTTCATAAGCCCTGGTACTAACGATACCGAAAATACTTTTTTTCCTTCCCCCTTTGTCTTCCATTTGCAATTACGACGTTATGTTCCGTTCTACAGAGTGTCTCGTGTTTAACCGTCGAAACTTTCGAGAGGACCGATAAACTGAGAAAAAAATCTCCTTCAGAGACCTGCTCGTTTCTGCTCGAATTTGAAAGAAAGTCGCTAGAAAGAGAAAACGAAATGGTTTTAATTTTTCTTATTTATTCGCCAAGTTTGTACCAAATCGTACCAAACTTAGAACGACATTTTCTCAGTTTTAAGTATATTTAAACGAAACAAAATAGACAGGACAAATAATAAATTTATTACTTCTCTAGTAATTTCTATCCAGCGACATCGTATCGGCGAGTTATTGTAAAAAGAAAGCGACGAATTATTGTAAACGGTTTGGTCACTCGTTATGGTCCGCAATCAGTTGCCAGCGCAAGTGGTTAATGTAATCTTCATTAAACAGATGATATATATATATATATAGAATTATATAAATATAAATATAAATATATATATATATATAGAAGATGAGAAAATAGGTGATAATATCAATGAACAAATAAGTGGGGAACCTTTTCGTTTCTTTTCTTTCGTGACTTTCTCCGAAATGGAGCAAAAACGAGCAAATCTTTGAAATACATTTTTTTCATAGTTTATTCGTCACTTGTTTCCGAAGTTTCGACTTCGGTTGACCGAATTTAAAATTCGGTACACCTTGTATATTGAAAAATATCAGTGCGCTGTGTGCGACTATATGCAAACGAATTTTTATTTATTATCATCGATAAACGTAGACAATGCTTTCAGAAAGCTCCCGTACGTTTAGAAAAGAACAATCGATATTTCAAATTCTTATTAACATCGCGAAACTTGAAACGTCGATAATTTTTCACTGAATGTACGAAAGCTTTCTGGACAATTGGTTGAACTTAACTTTTGTAAATAAATTAATCGATAATTGAACTTTTTTCAAATTCGCATGATTTACCAATGAACAGAAAATTAAATCTGATTTCGCGCGTTCATTGAAGCCTGTCGTCGTTCCGTGTGGATGAACAATTGAATCAGTAATTATCAAACTATAGTAGAACTTCGTTTACATGAATTTCATTCATTTGAGTCAACAACAAACTAAATCAACATGATAAATAAATATTATTAACATTTTAACAGTATTTTAATATTAAAATAATTATAATAATATTAAAATATTTTTAAATATTAAATTTAAAAATATTTTAATATCAGTATAATATTTAAATATTTAATTTTTATTGTAATATTATAATATTTGAATATTTAATATTTATTTTAATATTAAAATAATATTAGAATAATATTAGAATATTTTTAAATATTATAATTATTATTAATATTAAAATAATATTAGAATATTTTTAAATATTTTAATATTAAAATAATATTAGAATATTTTTAAATATTTTAATATTAAAATAATATTAGAATATTAGAATATTTTTACATATTTTAAAATTAAAATAATATTAGAATAATATTAGAATATTTTTAAATATTTTAATATTAAAATATTTTTACATATTTTAAAATTAAAATAATATTAGAATAATATTAGAATATTTTTAAATATTTTAATATTAAAATAATATTAGAATATTTTTAAATATTTTTAAATATTTTAATATTAAAATAATATTAGAATATTTTTAAATATTTTAATACTAGAAATATTATATTGTATAAACTATTTACCTCCTGATAAATTCGTATAAACGAAGTTTCACTGTATGCACATATGTACACAATGTACATAAACATGTACGTACGTATTAAAAAATTTACAAGATGATCGTCTAGGATGTAATGCATTAAAAAACGTTGATCTTTAAACGAGAAACTTTAGAACTGTCGCGATTATTTATTTCCGTACGTATCGAGAGTGAAAAAAAATTTTGGGCATGTAACTTTAACGTAACAGCCCTTGTTATGATAACACGTGTGCGACACGATTTTTGCAAGACTGAAATCCATAATACTGAAATGTAACAGCAACATTATCATTCAGCTACTGGTAAATGGTAATTAGAAGTTTTCAATCGAGGACTACTCTAATTTCGCGATACTGGTTTCTAGAATTTAAGTTCTCTCGCTTCGAATGGTTCTTCGTCGTTTCTCGCGATTCTCGGTGGAAACGCATGATCGAATGCCAACAATTATGGGGGGGGGGGGGGGTCAATGATTTGTTTACTTTCGAAGCAGGATCTGGATTTCGTTGCAATTTCAAATTGATATTGGATGAATCGTTCGAGTGCTTCGATTTGTAAATGACATGTAAAAAGAGATGGCTGCACTTTAGAAAGCTCGTCTGTGTTCCAATTGTTGCTGAAATTTTGGAAATAAATAAATAGATAAATAATAATTCCCACGCTAGTGTAAATAATCGTAATTCCAAATAATTATTAAAATATCTGTAATAATTATCAATTATTATTATAATTATTATATCTGCAATTATAGATATTTTAATAATAATTTTTGTATACTTATTAAAATACCTATAATAATTATTAATTATTATTACAATTATTATATCTATAATATATTAATAATTATTATATCTATAATTATAGATATAATAATTATAATAATTAATCATTATTATAAATATTTTAATAATTATACAATAATTATTAAAATATCTATAATTACAGATATAAGAATTATAATAATAATAATTGATATTATAGATATTTTAATAATTATACAATAATTTATCTAAAAATAAATCAACTTTTTTAATTTCAGCCAAACAAGTTCAGTAAAAAAACTTTTCCCAGAATTTTAGGTGTTATCTTTTAAATCCCTGAAAATCCTTCTCGCAGGCATTGTTTTCATGCAGATTGAACGTATTTTCAAAGTTTCAGCCAAAAATGGAACACAAACGTTTTCGCAAGCACGGCCAAAAGAAGTTACCGACTTTACCGATTGATGCTATTTAAAAAATTTTTAAACAACACCGCGCATTATTCGAATTGATGAAACATCGAATAGGAACGTATTTCCTAAAATATTATTACATCCCAAGATTAAATCGGATTGAATCTTGAAGATATTCCCTCGTCGATAAATATTGGCAGCTTTCGATTCAGTACTTTCGATTCCTGCTCCCCTTCGATCGAAAATAATGACTTCGATTTGATTCGTGGCTCTATTCGTGAATCTAATTTCAAAATTTGTTTCAACCTTCGAGTAGAAACTGATTTCCGTTTGATTGAAATTCGTGTAATAAATTCTCGATTATCGATTGGTCCTTGGTTTTTATCTTTCTTCGTACGGCAGATGGCGGGAGAATACTGATGACTAGTTTCAGAGAAAATAGAATACCCAGTAGATGGCATTGAACAGCATAAAACTTACTGGAAATATGATTCTCGAATATTTATCGATGATATTCACGTCTTTGATCTTGGGCATCGATACGCGCAAAACAGATGCTCCTCTTCGTATTGCGTGTAATACCTGTAACCATAATATTTTCATCTTCGTTGTTCTTGCTTAGTTCATTTTTTACGAAATTTTATTTGTTTTCTATTAGTTGGTTAGTCAGTTAACCTTAAGGAAAATATTTAATTAAAATAAAAATTATTCCTTTGAAAATCTAATGTACTGTTAATAGTATATAGTATGGAAAAGAAATAATGTCAACGAAAATGTTTACTAATTATTGTCTTAAAAAATTTGAACGTATATTAAGGCAAATATTAATTTAGTATAATATTAGAAAAATTATATTATTGATTAAACTCTATAATATAACTCAATAATATAAGTTTTTAATAAATGTTTAATAGTGTTTCACAATAATAATTTCCAACAATTTTAACTTACAAAAAATAATCTGATTAAGTAATTCAATTTACATAAAAAAAAAATATATATTTTTTCTTCAAACTTTTGTCTTCGACGAAATCAAATTTGAAAACAACGGTCGTTATAACGTTGAAATTCGACTTTAATTTAAAAAAAAAAAATTGTGTAATTGTAAAATATTAATAATTTCTTATTAATCTTACCTTAGGCTTATGTTGCTTGGGTCCTCTATATCTAAGACCAGTGTTCCTCCCATATGTATTGTAGGCCGCGACTCTAGAAATTCGAAAGCTCGGAGGAAACTTGGCCGGATCGTGTTCTCTTCCGGTTCCAGGCGTTGAACTGCTGCTAACCAGGCCTGATCTGTTCCTTATACTCGGCAAAGGTGACATCCTGAGATCTTGAAGCTCTATTATGTCCGCCTCTGTCGAACCAGGAAAAGGAGAACTCGCTTTGCTTCCTGTAAAATTACTATTTTCTCTTACGAGATGATATCCACGGAGATGTCCATTTCTCTTTTTCCTTTCGTTTAATTCAAAATCAAAATACGACAAGACTTTTATTTTGCAGGTTAGAACAAACGTTGTTTTATTTTTCGTTTATTTTTCTTTCCGATAAATAAACAAGTGAGTATGAAGTTATGTCCAAAATTATCATTAATACCAAATTTGGCAAAAATTAAAATTTTTTTTCATCTATATGATTTTTTAATTTTATTTCTTTGTCATGAAAGTTGCATAAGACTGCTTGATATTTTGGTATTAAATATAATATTCTCATAAAAGTATTTTATAAAATCTTGAATTGATATCTATATATGTATGATGCACGACACAATATTTTCTTTTAGACATTTTATATATTTTTGTAGACTGTGTGCATTCTATTCTAAAAATTTGTAGTTTAATAATGACGACCTTGTAAATATTATAATATTATAATTTGTTATAACATAAATATAAATTATATAAATAAATAAATAATAATAAATATACCTATAATGATATATACTAATACATAATATACAAAATAATATATAAATTCATTTATATTAAATTTATTACAATAAGTTATTAATTTTATATATATAATATTATTATTAATATAATATCTTATAAGTATATTATATTCTTTAATTTGGACAATGTGAGTCCCAATGAAACGAATAGAGAACTACCTCAAATATATTAATAAATCGTTTTAAATTATGAAGAGATATATCCAAAAACTCGAAACCCCAAGAAAATTTCTTTGAATTTAATTAACTCGAAATTAAATAACAAAGTCTTACCTGATTTCGACGAGATCACTTTTTTGTCGTCACCGTCTTTCTTTTTCGTCTTCTTCTTAGCCCTGGCGCCCCAGTAAGTATAATTAACCGCTGCGTACTCCAGCAAAGCGGCGAACACGAAAACGAAACACATTACTAGGTAAATGTCGATAGCTTTCACGTAGCTGATACGTGGCAGTGAACTACGTACACCTGTCGAAATTGTGGTCATTGTAAGGACTGTCGTTATACCTACAAAAGGAGAAAAAGACCGTCGTTATATATATATTTGTACTGATTCAGTGATTTACATAAATTTTTCTGTATTGAAACTATCGTGTACAAGTATTTGGACACTTCTAAATTATTGCAGAATAAAATACAATTCAAACGAATCTCTTCAATTTAATCTCAACATATATAGTTAATGAGCAACAGATGAAGAAGAAGTAATAAGAATAAATGAATATACATAATTAAGTAGGAGTGACATTAAATCTGTTGAAATTTTAGAACGATTGAAATATGCACAGAAATTTGTACAGACTTTATGAAATATTAGCTATTTATTAAAAATGAATGAAACTTGAAAATGCAAAGAATTAACAAATAGCAAAACAAAATATAATAAATATAGTACAATCTTCTAAAAATATAATCTTCTAATGAAATTGCACTCAATGTTCAATTATTTATGCATGGTAGTGTATTTGTTGTATATAGTCTCACTTAATATTACTATTACTATTTTGATTTACATAATTATCATTATCTGCAGTGAGGAAAAATCATAAAAGAAGACATGCATTTTAGATTGAAAAAAAAAGTAAAAATAAATGTCTTATAGTTAATACAGATTACTTTGGGAGAGACGTTTTTTAGACTAAAAGAAAAAGTGAAAATAAATGTCTTATAATTAATACAGATTATTTTGAAGGAAACAACATTGGTATTAAAAAAAAAACATTATTGCATCAAATCTATAATCCATTACTATGTTGTTTACAAAAAATAATACCACTTTTTCTCTTTCAATTTTGCTTTGCTCCGCCAATAAATGAAAATGTGAACACCTTGTATAGTGATTGACAAGTAAGGGAACAAGTTCATATCTTTACCGAGAGCTACTCTAGCACTGGTTGCTTCGTGATTTATCCAAAAACTGACCCAACTCAGCATCACGATCAAGATGCTGGGCAAATATGTCTGGAAAACGAAGTATCCGATGTTTCTTTGAAGTTTGAAGCTTAACGATAATCTTTGGTATATACCGGTGGCCAGTTTCTCTTTACGATCGTTCGTTTCGTAACCGATTATCGTGAATTGTGGTAGTTCCGCTTCTTCCACGCCACGAACCGGTGTTTCTTTCCAATACATTACCACGTCCAACACTGTGTATCCGTCTAGCAAAAAATACTTTCAATTTATAAGATAATTCATTAGTCACAAATTGTCATATAACAATTAACAATTGTTGACACGAGTCACGTTAGATGTATCAGATTGTGTAATAAGTTCGTTCGTACCATCAATGATGGAATTAACATTTTTTATACATGAATTAGGTAAGCCTTTTTATCAAAAAATTGTACGTGTTTAACCTCTTGCGCTAGTAACTGGTTCGCAGACCATAACAAGAGACCAAACCGTATACATTAATTCGTCTTCTTTTTGAATTCATCGGTATATCACTGAATAGAAATTACTAAGTAATGAATTTATTGTTTGTTTTGCCTGGATTATATTTAAATATACTTAAAACTGAGAAAATATTGCAGTTTTCAACGTGTGGCAATGTCATTCCAGCGAAAAGAGGTTAATTTGTTATATTTCCACGTTCTTTGAATTATATGATTATTACTTGTAAAGAACATTTTTCTTTCTGAAATGTTGAAATGTTGAATATTCCAATGTTTAAATAGTGCAGTCAAAACATAAATCGTTCATCAATTATAAGTCCAATATTTTTTGTAATAAATGATCTTTTAAATATTTTAAATATTGTTTGTTATATTATATTTTCAATTTCGTTTTAATTCATTTTCTTTTTATTTATACTTGTAAGCAACATTTATCCACACCATATGTTCCTTTATTTAATGTGTAATGAATTATCTATTGTTCATTAGATTTTTTGTTATACATAGTTTTAATATTAAAAATGTAACACTAAAGGCGAACGAATTTATTATAACAACCTAATATAAATAAACTACGGGTCTTTATGCAGTTTCAATTATCAAAGAAATATAGTTGAAACAAAATATTTATTTCCAGTATCAAATTTTGCAACGAGCACTCTACTTTTGATATAATTTTACATCCTGAAATTTCCCATTTAATGCATGAAAATCCGTAGTCTAGTTATGAATTAAATTGCATATCAAAACTATTTTTTCATTCGATTTTGGGATTGAATATATATTCCTTTTGTCAGACAAGGTATACTTCCAATTTATAAAATAAAAAATTGAATTTATAAAATGGGTCATTAAAATATTCGAATGAAGAATAAAGTAAATATTGTTTCTTTCTCAGAATTCAATGCATTAATTCTGAACTAATTACATATCAAAACTACATATATTAATCATTTTTTGTAGACAGTATTGAGCTACACCAATTAGTGGATAAGAAGACATACTATTACGCTTGAAAAACTAAAAGTCACATCTCGATAAAGAAAGCAAAATAACAACAAAACGATTCTTCTGGTAAACCATGCAACTTTTGTTTGAAACACGTTTTCGTATTTTTAACAAGGAAAATAATGTAACAATATATGAAGAAGTAATATAAATATAAATAATAAATATATAAATTCAGCCATTAAAAAAATGTTGATTCCTTAAATATCGAAACAAATCGAAAGTTCTCTCAATTCTTGCTAAAGTAAAACGAAATTCAACATATAGAAATATTAAAGTGAAAAAACAGAAGATGTTTAGAATACAACGAACTGCACGAGCTTTCATTTGTATGTTTTTCGAAAAATCATTAGAAATCTCTAAAAACTGTTTTGCATCTACAAAATTTCTACCAGAAATCATAAATTTGTTATAAATTTTGACTGACACTTTGGTAGTTCTAGCGTTAATACCATAAAAGTGTCTTTCATTTTACTGTACTCGGAGAAGAGAAAAGCGAAAGGAATCGATAGAAAGAAAAAAAAAAAGAAGAAAAAAAGAGAAAACAGCTACGATAGGTAAAACATCGATCGTACAGCTTTCGATCTCTACGGTGCAGTTCTGCGAATCGAGCGGATAGTAGTGCAGATCCATCATGCAGGCCAGGGTCGTCGTGAATCTCATGCCATAAGTGACAGATCCGTCTCCGGACAGCCGAACGAGTTTATTACGCTCGGTCACTTCGTGTAAGAAACTGCGAACAAACCGAAAACCAACATTTTCTTTCTTTAACAGCATCTCTTCTACTCTCGTACATTTTCCAGTTAGAAAATAAAATATTAAAAGGACGAATGACGAAGAAAGCATTTGAAACAGGTTGTCTGACTAATTCCTTTGTTTTTGACGATAATAATAAAAAATAATAACTAGACTAAGTTTCTTTAGCTCCAAGAGAAAATCTCATGTGGATAGATTTTTTTCATAAATAGAAATATGGAGGAGATATATTATTTGTAGGTTATGTTATGAGGAGTATTAATGTATCACTTTACGTACGTTATGATTCCTATATTATAAGATTATAATATATTATATTATAATAAATTATAATTATATATATATATATATATTTATATTACAAAATTACATAAAAATCGAATTAAATTTGATACTTTCAAAACATATTTAAAAAAGAATTATATATAAATAATTATTTTATATAAATAATTAATTATTATATATAAATAATAATTTTAATATATAAATTATATTAATATTATCATACATTGTAATTATATTAAATTATATAAATATAATTAATATTTATATAATTTAATATTAATTTAATATTTTTAATATTAAAAATTTAATATTAATGTTAATTCTTCTTTCACGGAAAAGACAGATTTTAAAAAATTATGTTCTGACGTACCTGTTCTTATCGTTGGCGAAAAATGTGTCTGGGACCCAAATCTTTTCCGCGAAATCTCCGCTAAGTGTGAGAACCTCCTCTTCTTGAGAAAACGCCAGTCTTTCGTCCTTCCAATACTGATTCAGATACATTGTTATGGTATAGTCCTGTGAACGTTAACATTATTTTAATAATATTCATCGTATCACACGATTATTGTAAATGTATCTAATAATTAGGTTGTAGAAGAATTATATTTAATCAAACGCTGTAATTCCCCTCTAAATCTCTTCCTCTCAGTCTTAGTTATTATAATATGTATATAATTTAACAAATTTGTTTGTTGTTTTACAAATTACAAATTTGTAACAGCTTTGCAAAAAACAAATTTCTATTTAGGTTTCATTTTTTTAATTGTATTCACAAAAATATGAAAATACATAAAATACACAAAATACATATGTATATTTATAAAAATATGAAAATACATAATCTAGTTACAAGTAGGATACATAATTAGTTATGAATAGGCTGTGGATTTCTACACATTTATAAGAAACTTTAGATTGCGGAATTCCAAGTAAAAAAAAAAAAAGAAAATACACAAATTTGAAAAATATCAAAAAACAATTATTTAATTTGAAATAATCATATAATTTTAAATAGCTTTTCATATAATTTGAAAAAAATTATTTGCTAACAATAAGTAAAATAATTTTGTGTCAAAGTTACGTTATTTTTTTTTAATTACACGAAGTTTCATAATCATCCACAGTCTGGTCACGAGCCTGATTACGTAGATGTACTCACCATGTTTACTTCCGAGATTGCATCGAAACTCGCGATGGTAAGATCCATGCCAACCAAAAGGGGTTCCCCTGAGAAGATAAACGTATAAAATATTGTAAAAGAGGAAGAAAAAGGAATAAGAAAAAGAAAAGAAATTCGTGTGTCTAATAGGTCGAGTAATCAGTGGTGGATTAAGGAAATTACTTAGCATCGTGAAGCGGATTAATTAAAATTCTGGCGTGATCAGTGGCCTGTAAAAAATTCGCCCAATAAATTTTCTTGACATCGATTTTAGTTCATCAATGTTTCAGATAAGTCGTTTTAAAGCAAGTAACACTAAGTGTTGATTAAAAAAAAAAAAGAAAAGAAAGACTAAATCGGTTAGAATGTGCGCTTAACAATGCAAATCTGGGGATAAATTTTATTTATTTAAAATTATTAATTTTTATTTATTTATTTATTTAAAAAGAATAGATATTTTTTAGTTATTCTGCTTATTTTAAATTTATGAATTATCTAATACAATATACATATATACATAATACATGTTGTTCGTTTTTTTAATCAATAAAAATATTACAGATAAATATAATTATATTTAATTATTATAGATATTATATTTAATATCTATAACATTATTTTAATTATTATAGATAAATATTTAGATATTTATTATATTTAATTATTATAGATATTATATTTAATATCTATAACATTATTTTAATTATTATAGATAAATATTTAGATATTTATTATATTTAATTATTATAGATATTATATTTAATATCTATAACATTATTTTAATTATTATAGATAAATATTTAGATATTTATTATATTTAATTATTATAGATAAATATAAATATTTAATATCTATAATATTATATTTAATTATTAATAGATAAATATTATAGATAAATATAATTATATTTGTAAGTAAAAAATAATTATATCTAAAAGTATTACAGATAAATATTAATAAAGAAAAAGAAGAGAGAAACAAATGTCCACTAAGTTAAAGAATGTGCATTCACGATAAAATAAATTTGAAAATAAATTTTATTTTGAAAAAATATTTTTTAATCGTTGTATTTATTTTTGTAGATTTACAAATTATCCAGTACAACGTGATATATGTTGTTTATTGCTTGTTTTTTTGGATCAATGAAAGTATTGATTTAAAGAAAAATCAATGGAGACGAAGCAATTTATTTAAATTTACTTAACAACGTGTAATTTGATGAAGTAAATTTAAGAATAAATTTTATATTGAAAATATTCTTTAATCGTTCTATTTATTCTCTGTTAATTTGCAAATTATTCAACGTAATTATAATATGTATGATATTGATATTTAATATATTTAATATTGATATTGATATATATGTAATATGCAAATTATTCAATGCAATTATGATATATATGTTTATTTATGTCACTTATTTATATTGTTCAACTTTTTTAAAAACAATTAAATATTTTAATAACAATACTAATCTTATTAATAGATATAATAAATATAAATATGATAAAAATTTATTAAATTTAATTATTTCATATAAAAAATTTCATTTTAATATATATCTAAATAATAATGGTAATATTGAATAATATAGAATTAATATTCATAATTTAAAAATAATATATAATTTTCTAAAATTTGATTTTATTAATAAATGAATAATAAAATATATAACAATTGAATATAAAATAGAAAATAATAAAAATTGTTTCATATTTAATAAATATATAAAAATTATCATATTATATTGTGATTTCATGTTTAGGTGACAAATCGAACGCAATAGTTCTCTAGATAATATAATTTGATGAAAGAACTGTGATATACGATAGAACTCTGTTTACACCAAATTTTGGCCAATGCCAAATAAATGAACGAATTGGGTCTAATTAACAGAGACATAATTTATTATATATGCAGAAAGAACAGCTATACTAATTTCTAAAAATGACAGACACATTGTTTAAAATTATTTTAAACGAACTGAACAAACAAAATGAAAATTATATATATTTACCGCCGAAATTTGGTCTCAATCGAATGTCGTAACCATCGAGGATCCGCGATATAGTTTGCGTCACATTTTCTAATCTGTCAGATAATCCTGTATTGTCAAGACTGGCCCTGAAATTAACAAATTGTTTGGATAGAAATGAAATAGATTCTCCATAATAAAAGACGCTGAAGACGTGTTCATGTTTTTACAAATGTACTTTAAGGTCGAGTTGTACTGTCAATATAAGAATTCAAAATCTTTAAACTAAATATTAGATTAATATGTTACACCAAAGTTAATAAATCTTTCATTGAAAATTATGTGCAACATTCGTAGATTTATTTCAATGTTATCAAGTTCATTAAAATACATTTTTAAAAAATTATTAGAAGCTACTTGATCCTGCATTTTGTCGAATTATATTTTTATATTAAAAAAAAAATGATAATTTTAAGTAAGATCTAGCAATATAAAATTATTAATAAAAATCTCTATACTACTAAACGTAAGATAACTATATCGAAGCCAATGAACTTTTAACTAACATTTTTTTGTAATACAATTTGCAGATTTATTTCAATGCTATTGTTTGCCAAGTATAAAATTCGTTTGATATAATATAAAATTCATTTTGAAAAAGTCATCAAACTATCTTAATCCTTCCTGCTTTATTCTTATCTTATCTATTTTTCTTTGTTATTTTACATTCAAAGAAGGCGATGACGGATTGAGAAATTCGTACAAAATTCATTTCATTCAATTCTCAATTTTAATAGAATTAATCGCTACCAAGCAATCAGGTGAATCATTTGCAGCAAGAGGAAGATGTGCTGCAGCCACATCCTGTGATGTATCCTCCAAAATTACGTCAGCAGGTAGAAGAGGACGTCATCTCGATAGGTCCTTGCACCTCGACATCGAGCTGCCAGAAACTGCAATCAGAACTTCCATTCCCGTCCTTGACCCTTATTACATATCTTGTTAATCATCTAATCGTTTATCTCGTCCAACATACACTCACACAAACACACACATATATATACTACATAAAATACTTTACTTAAAATAAAAGTGACGATACAAAGATTTAACCGTGATCAAAATTAAATAAGAAATACGTAATTAAATAAAAGAAATCTCCATAATAAAGCATAACAGCATGATTAACAAATAAAGCATAAATTAAATAAAAGAAATCTCCAATAAAGCATAAAGTATAAATTGTGCAGTATCGTCGAAGATAATTTCGTTCGAAACAAAAAAAAAAAAAAAAGAAAACAGAATCGTGGAGAAACTATACAACAGACAGGTCAGCTATACTCACGCAAGTACAGCTTATTCGGAGAATGTTCTTCATCGTGATAGTGGAACGTCGTGACTTTTTAGTTTCTACCTCGGTGGACAACGATTCGTCTGATTTGCGTGTTTTTCGTTAAGATTGCAATCGATAATTTTATACATTTACAAAGCGTCATACACACGTTGACCCAATACTTCATATTTGTTGCTAATACGATACTTTCATACCCTTTCAGCACGCCGTTCCTTCTTCAAAAAAAGGCATGGAACTTCGTCCATCGACGTAAATTCGAAAGTGTTGGAAGAACGTTCTCCGAGAGATTTGGAAGAATTGTTTTCGAGAGAGTGGTGTTACTCGTTTCGTGGAGCGGGTTGAACAACGTGGACGGAGAGACCGTCGACAGGATCCGCGGGCATCGTCAAGGGAGATGAGCTTGTCTCGAGCCAGGAGTCAATGCCTCTCTCGCTGTTTCCTGGCACAGCCGCCCTCGAAAGGGCACGATTTTTTTTTCACCACCGAACAGACAGCTTCGTTCACGAGCACTATCCAAGCTCGACGCCGTTTTCGACGATATTTCCCGGCGCCTCGGATGCTGCGCGCCACTCACCTCCTCCGCACAACCATCCCCCTTTTCTTACCCCCTCCTCCAGCCCCTCGTATCTCTCGCTATCACCCACTACTAACCTCCTTTCGGATCCTCTGTTGGGATATCTCTTTCTCTCTCTCTCTCTCTCTTTTTATTTTTTTTCTTATACTTCCCCTCTCACACTCGAGTGTATTAATTTAACCTCTCGCGTTGTGAAAATTGCAATATTTTCTCAGTTTTAAAGTATATTTAAGTGTAACCCGGGCAAAACAAACAATAAATTTATTACTTCTAATTTCTATCCAGTGATATTCATTATCGGCGAGGTCAAAAAGAAAAGCGACGAATTCATTTGCAGTATATACGGTTCGGTCGTTCGTTATGGTCCGCAATCAGTTGCCAGCGCGAGTGGTTAACCTCTTGCGCTGGAATGACGTGCCGCGCACGTCGAGAGCTTTTCGTTCCAAAATTGCAGTATTCTCTCAGTGTTTTCAAAGTGTATTTAAGTGAAACAAACACAGGCAAAGCAAATAATAAATTCGTTGCTCCTCATAATTTCTATACGGCGACGTCGTTCGTACCGACGAAAGTTCAGAAAGAAAAGCGACGAAATTATCGTGTACGGTTCGGTCGCTCGTTATGGTCCGCAATCAGTTGCCAGCGCGAGTGGTTAATAAAACTATTCGAACCGAACCGGATACCGAGCACGAGCGTGGACTATCGTGGATTATGTGCGTGCGCGTACACGATCCTTCAATTTCTCCCTTCGCGATCTTTCAACGTCATTTGTCATCTTGCAAATATATATATCCCCCCCCCCCTTTGATTTTTGTCAGTCAACGTATAACCTCCTCCCCTTGCTTCACCTGTTTTCGTTCATCCCTTCTTTATCGAATTTGCTCAACCTCTTTTTCTCTCCTTGTCATTCTCACCCCTTCCAATCTACTCTCTCTCTCTCTCTAACGTTCCCCTTTCGTATCGGTGTTTCACACTTGCACTGTCAGACTTCTTCGCAAAGTCGACTCTCCTCTCTCACCTATTTATCTTTCGGTTCTCTTTACACGCCGATAACACCAGCCTCTTCCGTATCTCTGGGTACTTGGCATTCCTCGGGGTCCCGAGGCGGTCCGGAGGTTGGCGCAAAATGAACCACGCATGTGCAGCCCCGTTTCACCGCGACCTACTGACACAGAGAGTGATTCTCCGCGTCTCTCCAACCCTCTCGCCCCCCCCTCCCCCCGCCCCTCTCCCCCCACCCCGCCACCCGTCTCGTCGTCCTTCTTTTTTTTTTGATTTCGACGTCAGGATCGAAGCGGAGCCACTCTTCTTCGGATGCCACCGCAAAACACACACCGGCATCGAGAGTCGTTCACCTTACCGGATTACCGTTCCCATCGATCTTCCCCCTACTCCAGGAACACGTACACTTTTGTTCTCCGGAATATCGAAACAAGTGGTTCCGCGATAACCTATCTCCTATCTTCGCGCTTTTCGTGGTTCTTTCTTTCTTTTCTTCTTCTTTGTAGAGCGCGAATTCTTTATTTTTTCTTTCTTCCTTTTTTTTTTTTTTTTCTTTTTATTATCCAGCACTTGTGTAACATCGATTTACTTTCAAGGTGATGATCAACTTTTTAACATTTCTTGTAAAATATATAAGTACAAGTTGAACTTTTCTTTGTTCCTTGTGCTTCAATTTTTTTCACATTGTTTTTTTGTCGATGATTCTAGCGTTAATATTATACTGAATTTGCTTTAATAATAAAACTAATATGTAGATTTGTTATTTATCTGATATTATATTACAATACAATGTTATATTATTATATTATATTACAATATTATATTATAATACAATATATTACGTTAATTATAATAATATTATATTAATTACCTGACTAAAATCTAATTATGTACTAATCTTAATCTTATGTATATACGTTAATCCTTATCCGTTCCTTATTTTTCCAACTTAATTTGTTCCTCAGTGTCAAATTGACACAATAATAACAACAATGAAAATTAGTAGGAAAATTTGCAAATTGTTTCACCAGTTAAACTATGGGCTAACAATAAGTTTCTATTCAATTACGTATAATTTTCAATTCAAGATATAGATATTCAATTTTATCATGATTTTAAACATTCTATAAAAGAAACGTGTAAAATTGGCATGAATAAGGATTAAATATCAAGCAAAAGTTCATTACAATGTCATAAACACTTCAACCTTTTTAAACTTATTGCATAATTAAAGAAGAAAAAGGAAAAATAGAATCCAGATGAAAGAAATAGTAGCAGAGAAGATATTAAGCGAATCCTTGAAATTATTTTTACAATCATAATTTTAAAAAAGCAGAATGTCGACTCTTAATGGGTTAATGTAGTCCAACTGACAAAACTACAACTAATTTATTCACGTTTTTAATGTTATTTAAAACTCTCTAACTTTTATTTTTATTTTCTAATATCATATCGAATTATAAATAAAAATAAAATTTTTATTTTAATTATAAATAAAAATTACGTTATTGGTGATTTTTATTTTAATAAAGCAAGTCAATGTGACCTGGTTGTTTTCTTTAATTTCCAGGATAAAAAAAGAAATTAAATTTCAGCTCGAAGACAGTAAAAGTTCAATGATTTCATTTTATTTTAATTATTGAAGATTTATCGACGAAATTTAACTACAGACGAAAGGTAGTCGATAGTTAAAAGAAATGATATATATATATATATATATATATATTCGTTTGTACGATCATAATACGGTTAAAAAATTTTTTTTTCTTTAAACTCATTAAAATCTGGAATACTGGACAGACTCTCTCATTAGAGAAATGATATATATACTTTATTTTCGGTTGATTGATTTTTTTAAACTCATTAAAATATCAATACAGACTCGCATCATTACACACATATAATATATAAGCAACAATGCTTAGTCTATAGTAAATATATTATTATTTATCATCATTGTCTGTTTTCTATTATTTATTGTTGCTATTTTCCTTCATTATTATCAACTTGTTATTGTAACTAATATGATATATAGTATTATACAAATATACAAATGTAGTATATTAATTATACATAAATATATATATTAATTATCAAATTATGTATTAAATATAAAAATATACAAATATAAATTATTATTATATATTAAATATATCATAGGTTAATATATGCAAGATAATATGCAAAATGAAATATATATCTTTAGAACCTTCTAGTCGCAACATAAATTTTCATCTAACGTTTTCCTATGAAAATTAAGCCATCACATAAACATTCAAAATCTGTAGAAAATTTTCAAAAAAATCAAATGCATCATGTCGTACTGTATTGTATTGTATTGTATTATATTTGAGTTTTGTAGAGAAAATTACAATATCATAAATATAAATAATTATGAAACCAACCATAATTTCGCGCGTTAGAATTGAAATATATATACTTTCTCGCCGTTTGAATTAAAAGTTGCGATAAAGTATGTATGTTCTAGTTTCGCGTGTTCTGATTTCGTTGGTGCGGAAGCGGGAGTGTAATGTGTGCACGGGTGTATATGAAAAAGAAAGGAAAAAGAAAAAAAAGAAGCACGTCTACAATGTTGTATTTTCTTCTAATTTAAGGCGAACCAGTCCTTTCAAAGGGTTCACTTTCAAAGGTCAAATTTCTTTCTGCATTTCATTCTTAATTTTCAATCGAGAGAAAGAATTTGTTCCGACGCAAATACGAGTTTCGCAGATATTCATTTACTTTGACGTTAGAGTACAAAAAGTAATAGGAAAGTATCAGTTACTTGAATTCATTTATTTCTTTCGGATGAAATATATCAATTTTTAATATTTTAATATTTTAAATTTAATTGTTTAGAATTAATATCAATATTACAACAATGTTAAAATCAATATTAAAATAATGAAGCAAATATGCAAAGTGCACTAATTCAATAAAATATAGTAACATTATACGTATTAATAATAAATTTCTTAATTTCTACTCTTGATTAATGTTCAATTTTTAAGAAGCAAACTGATAATTTCTAAAAATTTAATTAGTAGAATAATACAAATAATAGTAAATTCTGAATTGAATTTAAAAAATTAAAACATTATCAATTTTCTGTAGTTGTTAATCTGAGGTTGATCAATAGATATATTGATCAATAGCTTCTGATTGAGTTCAAACAATAATAGTAATATACAATTATATATATAATATAATAATAATTAATACACTATTATAATATTATTTCTTATTATTTTAATTTTTATCGAATGAAATATTTAAAAGAACAAGATATTCAAATCTTTCAAATAAAATATTCAAAACTGCTAAATTGCAGTTTTTCTGTTATGTTAAAAATTGTTATACCTAAATTTATATTAAATCCTATATACAATTCAATTCAATTAATTTTAAATAAACTTATATAATATAAATTTAATAACTTACATACTAATATAAGAAACTAAATTACATTTACATTAGTTTTATATTTATATTTTTGTATTATATTTATATTATTATACTTATGTTTCCATGTTTTTATATAAATTTATTTTACTTTCATACTTATATTGAATTTTATTTATATTATATTTAGATTAGATTATATAGTTTAAATTGCATTGTATTTATTTAGATTTAGAAATTGTATATTATATTTATTTAGATTAGATTATATAGTTTAAATTGTATTGTATTGTTTATATATTGTTTAAATTGTATTTATATTACTATACTTATGTTTTCATATTTTTGTATTATATAACTTTATTTTACTTTTACATTTATATTAAATTTTATTTATATTATATTTAATTAGATTAGATTATACAGTTTATATAGTTTAGATTATATTTACATTACTATACTTATGTTTTCATATTTTTGTATTATATAAATTTATTTTACTTTTACATTTATATTGAATTTTACTTATATTATATTTATTTAGATTAGATTATACAGTTTATATAGTTTAGATTGTATTTATATTACTATACTTATGTTTTCATATTTTTATATCATATAAATTTACTTTTATATTTATATTGAATTTTATTTAATTTGTATATGAAATTAAATATTAAACAATTAAATAATTCTTGAATTAAATAATACAAGCTACATACACATGAAAAATTATCTTCTATGTATATACATACACATGTACATACATGTATGTAGTTATCTTTGTAACTCATTTTCTT